CTGATGTTTTGCATTTTCATGTTTTCATACTTAAAATTTATTTTTACATCCAACTCAGCCTCGCTTCGCTTGATGAATCTCGTCGAATTACTGTTATCGAGAGCCACCATGCTCGGACTTCAGTCGGCCATCTGGACGAACAAATAGTGGACGATGATGAAGTAAATTCAGGGGTGATCAATTCGAATGCAGTTCGAGTTGATGAGAAGAAAAGGATTGATATGGAGGGTAGTGCAGGGAACGAGGAGCACGTTTGGGTTGGGGAGGATAGTGATGAAGAGGATCGAGAGGAAGAAGATGACGATGAAGATGATGATGATGGCGAAGTAGCAGTCATCGAGGACGAAGACGGTCACGGAGCTGACCTTGAGGCCACAGAACAGATTCATGCTAGTATGGCAATTATTCGTCCCGATGTGATGCAGCCTATAGCGACAACCGTTTCCGAATTAGTTGTTTCTGTGACTTCAACTGCAACCGCCTCTACGTCTGCCCCTACCGGATCTAATCAACCCATCGACAACTATACTGTTATGGAGGCTCTAGTTGCACCACAAATCTCTGCTGTTCATCGCAGCCAGTTAATGGCTTTTTCCAACGCTAGCATCTTGAATGGCGTAGATGAGGCAACTCTATCTGCAGGTCATCGACGCCACACAAACCAAGCATTGTAGGTTGGGTATGGATGCCCATTCATTCATTTTTAATCATCAAATATCTTTAAAATTTGATTAAATGGCTTAATTATCTTTGCTTCATCGCTTCGGCTCGATCGAAAATAAGCTGACTTTTCATCTGTCATAGCAGAAATCGTCAGGCTTTTAACTCATTCTTATAAAAACCTCAAGTTAGCACTAGTTAAAGCAAAATAGCTGGCTCTGCTTTACATTCTATTTATATACTGACAATTGGTATTTGAAAATATATGGACATATGAAGACAGATTTAGAATTGTGGCATGACTCTTCATTCCGAAGGGAATGTTGGTTAGAAGGAATTTGTGATGTGGTCTTACCGGAAACCGAAGGAGTATTGACGTCTAAGGAATACTGTTGAATTGTACGAAGAAGTCTTCGGCTTACCGTCCTGCGACCCCAATGAAACTGTGTTAAGCTTTTTTCTGGACTGTGACAGACATCAGAGCAATATTCAATACTTTACGAAATAATGCAAAATATCTTAAGCCAAGATAAGAAGATGGCCGGCTGCAACCCTCGTCACTTTTTTATGCATCTAACATCGCGGTCTTAATGAGGCCTACCCTGATTTGGTTGGCTACTTCAACCTTACTCTACATGCTTGCAAATGAGTGAAGTTAACTTCCCTAACTAAAAAATTCGTTTGGTGGCAGATGTTTCACCACACAAAAACTAGAGTACGATCGCCTAATGCTGAATCATGTTTGGGCTTGTGCTATTGTCTATTGTGTGTATGTAATACTCAATTCATGGGTAGTATGTTATTCCAGCCTCCTTCTCTGTGGCTCTTCCTGCACCCCCTCTATTTCTTTTCTTAAGTCCATCCAACAGCTACAAAAGTTCCTACTTAGTCTTCTACACTCGTTACTACTATTCAAACTCTTCTAATCTTGTTAGCTACAATTGATATGTAATTGTCTACTAATCCTAATGGATAATTGTTTTGAAACACTATTTCCCTCAATCTACCAATCTCCTGGACCCTATGGTTGCATCTACTAGACGCAGACTCCTTATTATGATTGACTTCATTCTCCTATTTTCACTTTTTTGCGTATGGTTCGATAAAAAATTAATAAGCAAACCCGTGTAAATCGGTTTTCTATATACGTCTCTAGCTAACTTATTAACTTCTTTGCCCACCAATACATCCAAAATAGGCAATTTATTTTCCTTTTCTAACTTCATGGTAAACTTAGTATTTGCATCTATTCTATTTATTAGTTCGAGGAATTCCTCCAAACTATTTTTGCCGTATTGCCAAACAGCAATGTAATCGTCCATATAACGACTAATAATTTTGGAACTAGGAGTGTCTCTTGAAACACGCGAACTTCTAATTGAGTCTTGTAGTCATTAGCTAAAATAGGGGCTAAACAAGATCCCATAGCCAAACCCCATTGCCAAATTGACTAATCTAATTATTGCACTTTATGATTTCGGTGTGTTGATCTTGAGTTAATTCTAAAGCCTTCATTTCCTCCCTTATCGGAAGGTCAGTGTACATAGATAGTACATCGAAATATACCGGCAAATCTCCTCTATCGTCTGATCATCAATTAACTTAATAAAGTCGTCGGACTCCTTTACTGAAAACTTCAAAGTTTCGGATATTAGCTTTAGCTGAGTACATATAAATCGTGATATTTAATGCATCACCCTACCTATCTTATTAAGAATAATCCTAAGTACCTTGCTTGTGGATTTCGGGCAGACCCTGCCTATTTGGAGATCGAGCATCTCACTAGAGAAGAGCATTCATTTTCCACTTTTCCATTTCTCAACTATTTGCCCATTATTGCAGAAGACCCTTAAGTCTGACTTAAAGGCCTTCTGTCGGGTTCCTAAATATAGTCTTATATGTATCATCATCTAATGCCTATAACATTTTCCCTATCTAATCAGTCTTAGCCATAACTGATCCTCCTTTGTCTTCCCTTAATACTAGCTGCTCGCTCTCCTTATAATAGTCTTAACTGTTCTATTCTTATATGGTGTTTATACATGACTATCAATTAAATAGACAACTTGTAGTTCAATGTCATTCCTAGTATCCTCTTGGAAACGATCCATTAAACTTATCAATTATACTAAAATTTCCTCTTTGAGATCCTTACCATTTGAAAAGGCAAAGTTTGAGCTCTTTGCCAGGACCTCTTTAGTAGAAATTGCCAATGAAGTTTCGGACTGCTTTAGCACTTTTTGGCAACGGCTATTCTTCCACTTCAATTGATTATATGTGGGTCGTATCCTTGAGCTAATTCTTATACCCAAATTTCTTAATTTCTTATCATGTCTCTTCCTAACCTGTCAGAAAATCATGTCGCGTAAGCTATCCACTATACTCCGAAGTTTGAGAAAGTATTTCGAATTAAGAACATCGGCCGAAATTTTCCTAAGTCTAGTTTTAGTTCTTATTAAGGAATGTAACTTTCCAATGTTTTCCTTAATTCTATTATCAACTAAATTATGGCAAACTTACAAAAGATCAGTCTTAGTCCTTCAAGCTGAAATTAGGTCTAGAAATAATACAAAATCTAGGTATAATTCTATGAGTAGAGTAAACTTTTAGAAAGTGAATGTGATTGTTTGGCCTGGCCAAGGATTTCTTGGTTTTTTTATATAATGACGAATTCCGAAATGAATGATAACCGTACGTACTTCTAAAATATGAATAGAATCTTGGTTTCGATGAATTACTCGTTGAAATTCGCACAATTCAACAGTCTTCCTCACGTGTCAATCCTCCTTCGGTTTCCGGTAAGACCACATCACGAATTCCTTCAAACTAACGTTCCCTTCGAAATGGAGAGTCATTCCACAATATTTGATCAAGGAATTCTTCGAATCCTACCTTTCCTTCTGATATAAATTTGTTTTGTTAATTACTTTTGATATTGATTTAATTTCTTTTGTGTTTAAGCATTTTGAAGTACGAAGCATCATTCTTAACTCTAACTATGATAGATCATCTGCTCTTTAATGAAAATATTTTATTATCAATTAAACTCAAAAGATAATTATTCTCCAGGACTAAAACTTTCATTCTTCTTAAATCTTCGGTCAGATGATTTTCATTCGCAAGTCTTATACTCTTGATAAGCATATATTTTTAAATGTCAACCTTAGTTTTGTAACTATGATTAGAAAGAAAATTAAGAACAAAATCAGCATATGCTTATTTCCTATAAGCATCTCTACCTGGCTTACCATCTTCCCTAATAACTATAACGTCTAAAAAAAATATAATTTCTTATTTTCTTCTAATTCCATTATCAATATAATATTTATTTCACACTGGTTAATTGAAAATAGGAAATTATCTAAACTATCTTTACCATTCTGCCAGATAGCAGAATAATAATTCAT